GCAAAGGAAGTGGTATATACCAGGAAGTAAGCCATCTTCCCTTAAAGCTCTAGAGCAGGATAGAACATTGACTTTTCCCTTTCTGGACCAGGCTTGTCCACCCCTGTGTTGTTGTTGTTGTTGTTGTTGTTGTTGGTGGTGGTGGTGTGTGTGTGTGTGTGTGTGTGTGTGTGTGTGTGTGTGTGAATAATTTGCTCCAAGGAGTAGGGTACCAGCTGACCTTTGGTAGAAGAGAACAAGAAGAATGCAAATGAGCCCTCATCTAGGGACTTTGTCTATTCCAGGAGGCTTGAAGCAAATTAAATCTACACCTTGATCTTCTGTCTAATTTCAACTCTACGGTAAAGACCTGTTTTAATGCCATGGAGAGAGACAACTGCTGCCACTATCATCTCTTAGACACCCCCCCCCAAATGGGACTGTCCAGAGAATTGCAGAAAATTGTTTCATAAAGATGTTTCATAAAGAATCTAAGGGTTTCTATCTTCTGGTCTCTATCCAAAGAGCCTGAGCATTGATAACAAGGAAAAGACAGTGTCCAGTTAAAAACAAACCGACAAACAAGCAACACTGGGAAAATTCAGTGAAGGGAAGGAAACTCAAATGGTACAGGACAAAGGAAAGCACGGGGAGTCTCAAGAATTTAGGGAGAAATAGTTCACAGAAACAGACTCCTTTTAATTCCTATGTTTCTTCAGAAAGTCAGAAACGAATCTGTGAGGATGCTGTGCTCCAGCAAGAACTGAGCCAGAGAAGCTCATCTCAGGGCACCCAGGAGGGAGGCACACCCCAGCCCAGCTCTGAGAATCAAAATCCACCCCTACCAGATCAGGGTTCATCGTTGTTCCCAAGATGAGAAGATGCTGGTGACAAGACAGTTGCTAAGGATTTCAGATTATTTAAAAATAAATAATAAATAAAATCAGAAATGTCGGGTTTGAAGCAAGGAAACAAAAACTCTTAGCTCGCTTCTAGAAGAGTAAAAGTCCGTGTTATTTTAAAGGAATAATGGCAAATTTCGTAACTGGGGCGGGAAGAGAAAACACTTGAAAACCACTCTTAGGTAAAATTAAAAAGAAAGGGATAGCTGAGTTCCTGGCTATTCTAGGAAGGGGCACCGAGAGATGTCGCTTCCTCGACAGCAGGGGGCGCGTTTTCTTCAGGATTGCGTCCAGGGAACGCACTTAAAAACTTCGCAGCCAGACTCTTTCAGAGCCCCCAGCCGGAAATCACTGTGCAGATAACAGCCCTCCAGTGTCTGGAAATGTTTAATTACCTGGAGCGCTCCTTCCTCCAGCGTCTCTTGCAGGACCTGTACCAGGGCCGCGGGTGTGGGCAGTGATTTTAATTCAGGGTTCCATGCCAACCTCACCTGACTCCACTTTAACAACACCAGGTCTATTCTGATGCGCTCACTTCCCACCTTGGAGGAAAGGAAATTTCAATACCATCAGAGCACAGCTGGTTGTGTGTCAAAAATGAGACTAACCATTCACGTTTGTTTTACAAAAACAAAACAACTCCCCAACCTCTACCGTGCCCTTCGAACATATTTGTACAAATCATTTTACCGAAGAGAGTATGACCAGAGTTCGAGCAACCCCATGTGTATGTTCACGTTTCCCAAGTATTCTTAAAACAGAAACAAAGACAAAGGTGGATACCCACGTGGGTGTCTTGTTCTGTCTATCGCCTGTGAGAAGAGCTAGGGTGATCACAAGGAACTTAGGATGCGGGAAATGCCTGCGTGTTCACTTTTCCTTTCACTTTGTTACTTGTCTGTCACTGTCACAACAATAAACATCCGCTGTAGTGTCCATTGGTTTCTAGTCTCAGAACCCTACGTGGCTTGCACATTTTCAGAGGCAGTAAGGTCGCAGTGTGTACATAAACTGTTACCTACCTCCGGAGTTTAAACCCATCTCTTCCGAGCTGGGTTTTGACTTGATTGTCTATAATGGTTCCAGAGGAACTATCGAGCCATTGCAATTCATCATCTAAATGAACACAGAGGGAAATCTAAATCTCCTCGCTACCCGAAGGCTGCATTCATGCATATAGGAAGGGGTTAATGAGAAGACCCCCCCCCACTACCACACACAAATGTCCGAAAAGTAGTTACAGCAAAGTTTGCTGTGGAAGCAACACCTCTCAAGTGTTAAGTAAATTCCACTTAAGTAGAATGAGGTCACTTTTGTGTATCTGGGCAGTGTGGAGAGGCAAGTTTCGTGACTTAAAAAAACAAATCGGTTTGGGGAGATCACCCAAACCGATTTTAACTCCAAGATAGGCTGTATCTTGTTCTTTCCTAATGAGGGGAAAAAGGGCTAAAAAGGGCTAAAATTAGTGAGGACAAGTGGAGGTCAATATTATCCGAGGTATGCCTCGGGGGAAAAATGCAGCCAGGACTCGCAACAGCAATGGCAGCATTGCTGCCCTCGGTGTGGTCAAAGTTCGAGAGGATTCGTCTTGCAGGGCTGGGGCTCGCGCTCTGGCCGGACTTTATCTGTATCAGGTTGCACAGGGCAGCATGCGTGGGTCCCAGAGCTAGAGCTCTTATTTCTGCAGATGGGACCCTTCCCGGAGTGATCAACGCCTGCAGAATCTGGGACTTCTCCCGGTGTCCACCCTGAAGACAGGCAGCAGGCAGTGGTCAAAAGAGTGAGAGAGGCGGAGAGGAGTGGTAAACCTCCTAGTTGCTAGCTGGCTGCAGACCGCAGGCTCTATGCGAGCCTAAGCTACTGTCTCCATCCGTGGAAGCTCTAGGGGCGGAGTTCGTGGACCCCAGGGGTGAGGCTTAGGTAGGCTAGGAGTTTCCTCACCTCTGATGGTGACTCACGCTGGTGGGACCAAAAGGACCTCTGGGTATAGGCCATCTGTGGCGTGCAAGGAGTTTGAAATGAGTGGTCCTGGAAAATTCTAAACGAATTTAACTTCTTCAAAAAGTGCCTCAATCTTTCTAGGTATTCTAGGTTCTGCCCTCCACCCACTCCTTCGTGCCCCCCCCCCCAGTTTGGCCAGTTTCTCTTAAACAGATGCTGGGGGTGGGTGAGTAAGGATTCCACCCGTTGCTCTCTTTTACGCAGAGCACGGCTAGGTCCTCCTCTACCTAGGGTTCTTCCCAAAGAAGAAAGCAGGGCGCTGGATGGCCTCCGGGTCATTGGGCAGCCACACTTTGAGGGGGCTATTCAACACGGGTCTCACAGTGGCATGCCTCATTTCTCAGTCTCTAGGGCACCTTGAATTTCGTTTCCTAGTGTTCTGAGGCTGTGACTGACCCAGGAAACAGTCACTTGGGAGTCAGGGATCTAAAGCCCATTTTGGCGATCTCAGTACCCAGGCATACAGTCCTGTAAGTTCTGTCCTGCTTTGTTAATGAGCTCCCTGAAAAGAACTGGAAGCCAAAGCCTGCGGTCCCAACCTGGCTTCCCCACCCTTCTCCAAGTCCTCTCCTTTCTAGTGTTTGCTCTGAGACTAGATCAGTTTTTCCAGATAACTCAGTAAAGTGGCATCTAAAACAACCCACTTGCCTTAGGACCAGAGCACTGCCTCACCAATGTACAAAGCTCTGAACCCCCACCCCATCCCCCTCCCCCCCCCACACACACACAGTGCAGGAGGTGGCAGAGCTCTTTAGGGATCTTACTATCTGGAGGTCTCTGGAATTCCTAAGGCGCCTTGACCAAGAGTCCCCCCCCCCCAAGAATGTCAATAAGAAAGACTTGTGAGGAGTCCACAGCTGGAGATGGGATGCACACACCCCAGGAGGGTTTTTAGTTGTGACCTTGAATTGCTCTTCTTAAATGTATACCAGTTGTTAATTTGGGAAACTTTTACCTTTAGTATGGAAATTCTCCAAGCATTGCCTGAGATAGGCACCCAAAAACTTCTTAAGTCAAAGTGGTAGGAAGTTTGTGAAGCCATGGAAGGGAATGCCTGACTGGATTTTGTTTCTATTTTGTTCCCAGCTCTGAGAGGGGAGTGATCTCTGATCTCAACTCCCCCCTGCTCAAGAGGCAACACTGTGGTCAAGACTGTCAGTATTCATAGTGGTTAAGCTTCTGGGTGCATAGGCACAGGATGTGGGTCTCTTACTAGGACACCAATAATGGGATGCTCTGGGTGAAGCTCTTGAGTGAAAAGTATAGCCCAACCTCAGTTTTTCTGCCTTTCTCTAGCCAAAATTAGCCAGAGACTGCCAGGCAGGTTCTCTTATAAAGGCTTGCAAACACCAAGTCAGTTTCTATTACGGAAGGGGGATTAGATAGGGATGGGGGAAAGGTGTGGGTCATCCTCTCTGAGGACTGCTAACTCAAGAAAATCTCACAGATCAGCTTTGCATGCTAAAACTGGAGAGTGGGACACTCTTCTAGAAAGACTATATCAATGTGTTGAAGAGGCATCTGGTCCCCAGGGAAGAGAGAGAGAGAGAGAGAGAGAGAGAGAGAGAGAGAGAGAGAGAGAGAGAGAGAGAGAGAGACACTCTGGGGGCAAAGTCAGGAAGTCGAGTCAGAAATCCTTAGGTGGTTTCCCCCAAACAAGGCAGGTCAGGAATTCCAGAAGGTAGCAGGAGGGGTGGGGGCTCGCTGGGGTCAGCGGTAGGTCAGTCCTAGGGATCAATAGTAAAGAGGGTACTGGAAGTTACATAAGGCACAATCAGCGAGGATGTAGTTGCTCTAGGCCTGAGCACGGATGACTCCCTCTACACATTCAATCCAAACCAACTGTCCAGTCCTAGAGGTCCCAGTGCCTCCACTGCTCTCCAGACTCCCTCCCACCCACCCTAGGACCAGTTTGTGACTGGAGCTTCAGCGTGGAATCTGAGTTCTGAGTTCCGGGGAACTAGCTCCACTCCTCCCTATAAGCTCTGCCACGGCTCTTTCTGCGGAACTCCACACCCCAGGATCTGTGGTCAGCCATAGGCACTCGGATGTTATGGCTCACTGCAGTCAGTAATCTCTGCCCTTCCGCACCAGGAACTAGCTAGCTCTGCCAGAGTCACCGCCCAGGTCCCAAGCACTATTTGGTGTCAGAGCTCTGCTCCACGCCAGGGGTCCATCGCCTCTGGGAGGAATATCTCAGAAGAGCAGCGACTTCGCCAAGCTACAAACTGCCTGCATGCCTAAGATGCTGGTGCCGGGACACACCGGGCTCCTCCTGGCTTTTATAGGCACAACTGAATCCCAAAGCAACGCAGCAGAATTCTGAAATGCTCGGTTCTAGCCCTCTCTTGTCCGGTAGGAGCTGTTTTCTTTACTGCCTGCCTTTGGGTGTCTTGAAAACAAAATACAAAACGGATCGAGTGAGTGGGACTGTCGGGGAGTGGGCACCGGTGAGGAGAAGCAGAGGCCAAGCTAGCACAGCTGCCAAAGTCGGCTGCCCGGGTCAGCAGAACTTTGTTTCTCAGTGCGCAGGCGCAGGCAGAGTTGGGGGGCAGGGGAGGGAGGGGAGGAATCGCGAGGCAAGGGGCGGGGGGGGGTAGGGGGTGGTGGATTAAAATAAGTAGGCGGCTCGGTGCTAAGGGATGAGTGAGACGTAGCTCGGCCTCTCCCCAGCAAGTTCTCACCGGCTCGGGTTCAGACCCAGAAAGGGAGCCAGGAGCGGAGCTCACCAGACCCTGGCGGGCAGTACTCCGAGGCTGCGGAGCGCTCCCGCCTGTCCGGCACTTGGAGTCCCCGCGGCTACAGGCGCCTCAGGACTCCAGCTTGCCTGGGTCGAGCGCAGCGAGCTTCAGAGACGCGCTCTGCCAGAGGGATCGCGCTGGAACAAGGTAACTGCAGCCCCAGGGCGACTGGGCTCAGAGAGGCGAATGCGGGCTAGACTGCTGGTACCACGTCGTAGCTGGTGCCTCCAGTTTTCAGGGTCCCCAAAGGAAGTCCTTCTTGCCAAAGGAAGGCTGCAGGATCTTTGTGAAAGTGAGACCAGTTGCAGCATAGAGTTGATGGGGATGCTCCTTCAGGGACTGCTGACTCTGTGTTCTTGTTGGCCTCTGACCGGGGTAGAAAGGTGGGGACCGAGGGGTCTGGACCATTGAAACGAGCCATCCGTGGGTAGGCAGGATTCTGGTAAGGTGTCCACAGATTTTGTAAGACCGTCTGCAGGATCCCTTTAGAAACCCCCAGAACAACTTCAGAGAGCACAAACTTTTGCAGTGTGCATGTTTAATTCAGACTGGTGTTCCTTAGCTGAGGAAGAGGATAGTCATAACCCAGGACAGGTGCATTACCCCTACCCTGTTGCGCTTTTCGTCTTTTTGCGGAGTTGGTCTTCACACAGTAAGCCCTCAACACCCAGGACTACAAGGCTGCTCCCGGTCTGAAGCCTGCCTCCCACTCTGTGGTTGGGATGATCTCTATTGCAGGGTTTCTGTGTGTCCTCGGGCCTGCCGCTCTGGTGTAGGGAAGCATCCTGCGGGCACAAACGAACGTTGTCTTCTAACTGGAGACCCGAACACCCGAGAAGCAGAACCATGCTGGAGATGCACATGTCTCAAGGGTGGAGATTCTTCTGCTCTTTTGGTAGTTGCCTAACCCAGGCATAAGTGGGAAAGATAGGAACCCGAAAAGAGAGAGAAAGTGAGGGCGGCTGTTTGCTGAACAAATCCTACCTTCTTCAGCAGCCCTGATAAGAATAAAAATTGTCCTGCGCAGCCTTTTCTCAGAAGCCTGGGCGCAAGCCGGGTGGGCTCTGGAACAGAGTTTGAAGGCAAGGGTTTCTTTTAGGCAGTAATTCGATGAATTTCATCCAGGATGGGACCTGCAAGTTGGCTCTTTGAAGAGAACCACGTGCAAATCTATTCTAGTTTCACAGCCTCCAGGGAAAAAGTGGGCTGACTGACAGGGATGGGGGAACCAACCGAGGACTGACAACTGGTGGGTAGATGGTCTATCCCAAGCTCTCTGGAAAGTAATTGTGATTTCATTAAGATTGGGAAGCCAGCTCCTGGGAACACAGCAGGCATCCCAGTGTCGCAGAATGGCGAAGGAAAGTGGGCTCATTCGATTTCGTTTGTTGGAAAAATGCAGTCAAAGTATCCAGTGTTGGTCAGTCCTCTGGACCTGGATCCCAAAGCCTGTCACCATTCAACTGGGGATTCGATGTCAAGGATGATTGGGGAGGGGGGTTTGCTGCTGGGCTTCTTAAGGTACAAGCTCATGGGGTTCTTTCTGTCCTCATTAATGCAAGCAGTTAACTCGCTCACGCTCAATTAGCCCCGAATAAACCACTTTAATAGGCTGCACACTTCATTAATGCCCTGAACAGGGCTGGCGGCAGACGCGGGATTGGCGTTCCACTGCAAGAGGGACTTGAATGACTGTGCTGTGCTAGGACCCCTGCTCTGAGGCTCGAATTGAGTTCACTGCAGCGAGCGAGTCAGGACACTTACTAGTGCTTCCCACGTCTCCAGGCCTGAGCTCTGTGCTCCACGTAGAGTGCAGTCAGGGTCCGGAGGGGCTGAGGGTAGGGAGCCCTGGAGCTGGAGAGGACCGGGTTCATCTTTTTTTGCTCATCTTTTCAGGTCGCCCAGGCATATCTGCCTGTGTTTCCCTCTTAACTGAGCGCTTGAAACCAGATCTTGTATTTGGTTCATTTGTAGTACTGATGTAAAGAGCCACGTTTTGAACGAAATTCGTCCTCAGGGAAAAAATCCGTGGCAATGACCCCTGGAATCCCAAGCCTCAGAAAGCTACAGAAAGTAAACTGCTTGGTCCGTTGAGAAAAATAAATGGCATGTTGGAGGAAATAAGATTAGGCAGATAGGCTGCAAGTACCACCCCTCCAGGATCCCAAGGCCCCTCCAGTCTTTTTTGACTTCTCAGTTGAAGTAAGGAAAAGTCAGATGAAAGTTTGTGGGTTCTACCAACCCTAGCCTTTCAAGTCAGAGTGGCTCTGATTCCATCTCTCCTTGACTTCCCATATGCCTAGCAGAGAGAAGCCACGGTGGCTCCCCCTTTGCCCAGGCTGGCTCCAAGAGAGCCTAATACAGGGATCTAATTTCCAGTCCCTGGAAGCCGTCTCAAATCAAAGGGCATTCAACTAGCCGAAGTCCTGAAGTCCTGTAGACCTTTGAAGTTGGTGGGTGCCCCCTATCTAAAGGGCTCTGTGGCTTCCTCTTCAGTGGAAAGGTACTTGGTTTTCTCCTTGTCCCAGAACTCCCAGAAGGCTTTTTGTTGTTATTGTTTTGTTTTGTTTTAATTTTAAGTTTTGTCTGGCACAGGTTTTGTGTGTTGGGTAGTAGACAAGGCTGGTACAAGCTATCCTGCTGCTAGCTAACCAGGTTGGATGATAGCAGATGTGTGGTTTCCTTATCTGGGAGGGCAAATTAATTGCAGACAAATTTCAGCTAGCCTGCTCTCTTGTTTGGGGCACACATCACCCCCAGCAATACACTTTTCTTTGGATTTAGCTGTACCAACAGTCACTTTTCTGTTAACTGCTGGGTAAAGTGTCCTGGGTAAAGTGTCCTCTTGTTCCCCCCTTGCCCCCCAATGAAAATATTCTGAGCATCTCTGGACCAGCTAGGCATTTTTAGAGTCCCAGATGGAGGAAGAAACTCAACTCAAATCTCTCTGCCTTGCTTTTAGGGTTGTAGATGTTTAGACTTGCAGGGGTGAGTCTGAGCTGTGAAGACAGAGGCCAAAATGTAGTGTAGCTGATACACCCCAGAGATAGAGGAGAGATGGGAGAAAGAGAAAGAGAGGCACGGTGACAAGGAAGAAATCCATAGCCAGAGACTGACACTATGGAAGGGGAAGGACTTTACTGACACCCTACTCTGACAATCACTTGGATAATGCCATTGAACCCCAAGCTCAGAGACTTCCCAAAGTTTCCTAGTAATTTTGGCTTTCCTACCCACTTGTTCACTATATAGACCCAAATTAGAAATATCTGGAGGGGCAAGATATGAAAGACCCCCCCTTTCCCATGCATACTGAGGAACTCCACCAATATAGCCAGAAGATGACAGCCCTGGAGCCCTTGGTCACTTCCATAGGGCACCAACCTTATCCAAGAAACCCTGATCTTGCGTTTGCATTGGGAGAGTAAACAGAGCACAGCAGTTTAGGGCTGGCATTAGTGCTCCTACCCCCTCCCCTGCACTGACCTTGCTCACTGTTCTCATTAATACATGGGAAGCCTGAACGCCCAGAGAAAACCAGCTCCCCTGGGGGAGGGCACATGAGCTCCCTCATACGGAATTGCAATGGTTTGTCAGATCAAATGAACTGAACATGGATGTCATTACATTTCATGAAGTGGAGGTCACCACCAAAGGTTGGGGAATCAATCAGCTACCAAGAGGACAGAGTACACAGGATTCACCAGCTTTAAGGTACACAACAAATTTAGCTTCCAGTGAGAGTTTTAAAGATGATGACTTGATTCTTTGGACTTTGAGAAACCAAACCAGTAGTTACTCCTTAACATGTAGGAACTGGATGGTAGGCATATTTGAAGGCTCCTACATTTTGTACAGGGTTGTCCCATAAAATACTGGCTGTTCCACTTTGTCTCTGGACCTTCTTGTTGATTTTGCTTCAGAACATGTGTGAATCTAAGTATGTAAGCATGCTTCCGGAAGAGATTCTGTCATTGTAGGGCTATATAATTCTGTGTGGTCCCCAGGTTTGCCTGAACGTGGATGTCTTATCTGAATACTATGCCTGTGTTCCTGTTTGCATCCTTCACAGTTGACAACGGGCATTTAAGTTGGTTGTGTCTGTGCTTAAGGACTTAGTTTCCCATTGATGGCTTTGTGTACAATATGTGTTGGAGGTTGTTTGACCATCATATAGGATTCTGGCCAGACAGCCCTCCTGTAACTTATGTTATTTTTTGAGAAGGCCTTGGGGTTCATGGGTGGGGTCTTTGATTCCCACCTCCTATCTGCCCTAAGGGAAGGAGAGGGTATAATTGGACTGGAATTAGGAAGGAAGCTGACCACTCTGAACATCTCTTTGGCTCTCTCCCTACCCTTCTTCCTGTCTTTGCAGATCAGTAACTGAAACCGTTGCAGCTATCAACTACAGAAATGGGCAGCAAAACCTTGCCAGCACCGGTGCCCATCCACCCATCCCTGCAGCTCACCAATTACTCATTCCTTCAGGCGGTGAATGGCCTGCCTGCTGTCCCTTCGGACCACCTGCCCAACCTGTATGGTTTCAGTGCTCTGCATGCTGTGCATCTGCACCAATGGACGCTGGGCTACCCAGCCATGCACTTGCCACGTTCCTCTTTTTCTAAAGTGCCAGGTGCGGTGTCCAGCCTGATGGACGCTCGCTTCCAGTTGCCCGCCTTTCCCTGGTTTCCTCACGTCATTCACCCTAAGCCAGAGATCACCGCGGGAAGCAGCGGTGCAGCGCTTAAATCCAAGCCGCGCTTTGATTTCGCTAACCTGGCCTTGGCTGCCACACAAGAAGATCCCTCCAAGCTCGGTCGAGGGGAGGGTCCTGGCTCCCCAGCTGGTGGGCTGGGTGCCCTCCTGGATGTGACCAAGCTATCCCCAGAAAAGAAGCCCACAAGGGGACGCCTGCCTTCCAAGACTAAGAAAGAATTTGTCTGCAAGTTCTGTGGCCGTCACTTCACTAAGTCTTATAACCTACTCATCCACGAGCGGACACACACCGATGAGCGGCCTTACACCTGTGACATCTGCCACAAAGCCTTCCGGAGGCAAGACCACCTACGGGATCACAGGTGAGGCACTATAGCATCGCGGGTGGCCCCAGAGGGATCTGTTTTGGCTGCTCTGGCCTTGTGCTCTTCCCACTTAAGGTTCCTAAGAGTTCCTGGTGGCTGTAAGCATTCCCATACTTCTGGGAATTCTCTAAAACCATGAGTGAGCCTCCCCCCACACCTACCCCGCCTCCTCCTGTCCCTGCTATAGGATAGGTTTTAGAACGTGGGTGAAAGAAATACGGTAATGACTAGGATCTAAGATCAGAACTTCTTGCCTTCTTTCTCAGTACCAGGAAAGTGTTCATCTAATAGGAGTTCCTGCAAGGGTGGAGAGATTTGGTAAGGAGCACTTGAAATAGGAAGTCAGGACGTTTTAGTTTTATGAATTTCTAGTTTTCAAGAATCTCTTGGCCATGTCTACTTCTTGGGCAGTGCAGATCTAGAAACTGCCTGACCCCAGGTCTGTTGACTGACCTCCTATATTGACTGAGCCTTTAGGAGGAGGTGCCTACTCATCACCTTCAGGAAGGCAGGTGGTCTGTATGTCTAATCTGTTTATGGAATCAAAGCTCCCATCTATCGTCTTACTCTTAAACCTACAGTCTCTGCCTGGCCCGATCTCTGCCTCTTTCTGGTTTGTAGCCACAAACACCTTAACAGCAGTGGGAGGGGACAGCCAAACATAAACAACATTGCATTACGTTGTCTGTCTGTCTCTACTCCAGATATATTCACTCCAAAGAGAAGCCTTTCAAGTGTCAAGAGTGTGGGAAAGGATTCTGCCAGTCCCGGACTCTCGCTGTCCACAAGACGCTACACTCACAAGTGAAGGAGCTCAAAACCTCCAAGATCAAATGCTAAATAAACAGAACCTGCGGGGCACCAGGACCCTGGGCCGTGCTGCTGCCTCTTTTTCCAGAGGGACCCAAGCTAAAGGCGACTCTGCAGGCAGCGGGAGGGGCTTTCGGGATCTTTCTTCCACACCAACACAGTCCCCTGGGTCCCTAGCGCTCGTGGCGCTCCAGAGCTTTGCCCGGGCCACGACTCCTACAGCCTGGGCGGCTCCCCCAGGACGCGGCTAAACTCTTGGCCAAAAGGCGGTACTCAACTCACGTGGCGGAAGGGAAACTGCATTAAAAGAAAAAAAAAAAAAAAGGAAAAAAAGAAGAAAAGAAAAAATAAAATAAAAAAATAAATAAAAAAAGGAAGGAAGGAAGGAAGGAAGGAAGGAAGAAAGAAAGAAAGAAAGAAAGAAAGAAAGAAGGGGGGCGGCGAAAACTCCGCGGAGCCGCAGTGGCGCCTCTCCCAGAAGTATTACTTTTTCTATTGTTATTTTATACGTTTACCTTATTTTTTTCCTCCCTTTGACCATATAAGCTTGTAAAGTCTTGACTGCGGAGAGGGGAAAGAAAAGATGTGTGTGCCCTGGCAATTTCCAGTACCTCCCTCTTCCCCATCCCTAACATTGAGAAGCCTGCGAAAGTGTAATCCTTGTATCTGCTTCTGCCATCGGGTCCCAGGGGCCGCTGGCTCTGCGCGACTCCCTGGCGCTCAGGCTGCGCCGCTGACCTCCAGCTCCGGGCGCGGAAACGCGGCTGAGGACCAGGAGCCCAGGGTTGGCCAGGCCGACCTCGGCTCCCCTGCTTCATAGCTGCGCGCGAGCGAGCCGCCGGCCAGGAGCCGGGCGTTGTATTGTGACTGGCACTTTATGCTGACCATCGGTAACGGACATTTATCACTGGAGTTTTTTTTTAAACTATTAAATAAACGGTTATTTTACAGGCATGACAGAATGGATGCTTCCTCTCGGGCCGCGAGGGGAAAAGCTTTTTTTATTTTATTTTATTTAGAGAGGAACAGATTTCTCTTCTCTGTTCATTTTCCACCTGTCAAGTTTTTTCTCCTCGTCCTTTTATGGTGACATGGCGGACGGGCGGACGAAGCCCTACTTCTGGGGTGTTGGTCGACCTTTGTACTTATTTCCTTACTTTTCAATGTCAGGGCTCTGATCTCCTGACTCCCCAAATCCGAAAAGCTGTAGTTGCAGAGGACAGAGTCTGCTGTGCCTCCTCCCCCGCCCTCCAATTAAGCCCTGAAAAATCCTCTCTGAGTGCAGGGGTCATGTGGATCCCACGAGGGAACAGAATAACCCCTCCCCACCCAGACTGCCCCCCAATCTTTCCTATCAGCCTGTGGCTTTTGCCTTGTGGTGAGATCTTCCTTCACGGGGCCTCAAAACCATTCATGCTGTCCTCTGTCCCTGTCCTTCAGCATGGATCTGCAATAGGCAATTATCAGTCTTCTTCTGGACATCCTTGTCTGTTTCCTTTGGGAACCCCTAACTCCCAATTCTCCTCTTTAGAGCTTGTCCCCAACCCGAATCACAGCTCCAAACCTTCGGATAATTCTTGATCCCTAGCAATTTGGAAACCTTGTGAGGGATGGAAGGGGCGGAAGCCCTGGAGTCCCCACCTCCCCCTCCCTGCTTAGGAAGAGAAGTGCGAGTTCCCTCCCCCGGCCCTCGGGCAAACTGAGCCTACCCTTGGGCGTTTAGTTTTTTCACTGTTAGAAATCTGGCCACCAGGGCTCTCCGGCTTGGGGGCGGGGCCAGGCTCCCCCAGCACCAGTACCCAGACCGCAGGACCGCGCAGACGGTGGCGCCCTTGGCCTTTCCCAAACCAAGTTTAGCTTTCTCTGCTTCTACTCCTGGCACTATGTAGGAGTGCGGACCTTTGGGTTGTGCTTCCCTGCATCAATGACACAAACCCTAGCCTCAAGCAGGGTCCTGCAGACCGAGAAAGCTAGTTCAGATTGCAGTAGTTAAAAAAAAAAAAAAAAACGCTCTTCCCTTTCATGGCTAGTGTTGCCCTACTCTCTTCTGAGAAATCTACCAAGCTCTGTGGAGGCTAGACCATTGTGTCCCAGGAATTCAGTTTAGAGTTAGGGCCTCTGCCTGGTCTGCCTGAGTACCATCTACGGATCTGGAGGCCGTGCTGCCCCCTGCTGGATAGACCTGGGTGGACCATGAAAGATTGGGGTTGTGTTTCCACAACCATAAGGAAAGTTGCCACAGCACATATAAGGTGTCTCCACCAAAGACTTCTCGGACGGGTTCAGGACCCACTTACCAGTGAGCAGTGTGCCAGTTCAAGGGTACTGGTCTGTGGGATTTCCCCTTGACTGGCAGGTGCCCAATGTCTTCCACCAGAGTGTACAAGAGCAAAGCCCCAAAGAGAACGAAGCCTTTCTCTAAGAGTCTTGGGGCCTCTGGTATCCCGGGAGGTCTGTTGATTTGACATATTGGAACCCAGGGTCAACCAGGTCAGAACACGAGGTGGTTTACCTCACAGTTTATGGTAAGACAAGTTGTAGTGGCAGTGGGTTCTTTTATATAGGCCCAGTGAGGAGGGTGGTATTGATGGGCATGTCCGTGCGTGTGTGCGTACACACACACACACACACACACACACACACACACACACACACACAGAGAGAGAGAGAGAGAGAGAGAGAGAGAGAGAGAGAGAGAGAGAGCTCTTTGAGCATTTTCTGAAACTGTAAGAAAGCCATCTTTTATTCTTTCTGGAATTCTGTTCCTCCATCCCTACCACAGCTGTCCCCTTACTCCTTTCCTTTCAGGACACTCAGAACCTCTGCAGTTAGCCAGGCCCCCGGGACATCATTAATGCTGTGGAATGTTCCAGAAGGTTTGCTTGGGATGTTTTCTTTTTTGGCGCATTCCACTTCTGGCATGGTGAATCCCAAGCCCCACCCTGGGTCCAGAGGCTGAGAGGCTTTCAATATCAAACATGCATCCTCAGAAGAATGAACTCCCTGGGGCAGAAGTGTTAGCATGATGCAAAGGAATGGGGCACCAGTCTAGACAAAAATACCCAACTACTGAGGATACCACATGTTGCTCTCATGGTGTGAAAGCAGAGCCTAGTTTTTAGGAGCATTTGCTCCAAGGAATAGCAAAACTAAGCAACCTGCGATTGCAGGTGATCACTCAACAAGCCACAATTTCTGGGGCCATGTGACTGGGACACTTTCTCCTCTGGTACCCAGTGCACCTTTTCTATAGCTTGCACTATGTAAACACAAACACACACACACACACACACACACACAGAGAGAGAGAGAGAGAGAGAGAGAGAGAGAGAGAGAGAGAGAGAGAGAGAGAGAAACACACACATGGAGGGGGGATGAGGGAGAGACAGACAGTGGGTAGATTTTTCTTGCCTGCTTTAACTCTTCCCCTACACTCCTAGAAAATTTTCTCTCTTCTCTTGGCTCCACTCCCCACCAAAGTAAGCTCTTCAAGCCCCTGTCTCCTGACCTGGGTGCCTAACATGGCCTTTGGAGACCTGGTCGACTTGGAGGTGTTGTATGGAAAGTTGCAGGCCATGGGTAACCAGTTTGGAGGGTAGAAACCTTGGGGGACCCTTGGTACAGCTTAGAGTTCCTAATATGAAGAAAACAGAAGCATCCTGGGAGGTAGAACAGCTTTCAAGGGTTCCTCAAGAGGAAGAAGTTCAGGTCCCTGGAGTTTCCAGCACTATAGAAACCCTTTTCCTAGCCACTGGGTTCACTGTTCACAGGGGAGAGGAAGGAACTAACCAGAAAGCATGGGAATTCTTGGAGTCACCTTAGTTTCAAGAATGCTAGACCCGTGGTGTTAAAAATCCTCTAGAGTCAGTCTGTCTCAAACACAGGCTGGTCCCACTTTCCAAGGCATTAGGGCGTTGTGACGTCACGGTCTCCTGTTTTAGACACAGTGGCATTACACCGGCCCCTGGCCAGAGCCCAAAGGCACCATAACATCTATGGCTGCAAAGCATTAACATAGCTTTATGAAATCACAGACCAGGCTCGTTCTGCCTGGAGCAGTGATGTTCACTTATCCCAACCACGCCCCGAAAATAGTGCCCTCGGAGGCACCACGAATGGTTTGGTTCCCACCAACGTGATCCGCAGACCCGAATACTGGCAGGTGCCTTGTGTGAGGAGCAGCAGCAATTGCCTTCTCGGGGTTCCGTGGTGGTAGTGGTTTTAGCACTCCCCAGACCACACCGGTTCCAGAGCCAACTACCGCTGTGCACCCTCCCAGTCCACGCAGGCCACGCCTACTTTGGCTGCTTTCCCCTCCCACTGCGCAAGCTACGCGCTAGCCCCAGCGCAAGAGAAACTCGCCAGCTCCTGGGAAGACGGAAGGGATGGTGAGCTCAGCCTAGGGAGATTAGGGTAGTTGCTGCTAGTTGCTGCTGCATTCGGTGTTTCTCCTTCAGGGATTGGGCAAGACCCTGCATCGGTATCCCGCCACAATCCTACGCGTTAGAGGTGCATATTTAGTTCGTCGTGAATGCATTCTCAAAACCCTGGACAGTCTTTAGTCCAATTCCTCGCCCACAGAAGTGCTGAAAATTCAAGCCTCAGCAAGAGTGAGGTGGGAGCTGTGGAGCACCAGAAAGTGCCCTTCTGGATAGGGTGTTTAAAGCGAAGGTCTCCCCTGGAGCCCCCCCCCCCCCCGGGGACTCTGGGAAGCAAGGCAAGGCCTGCCTGGGTCTCTTACCTACCCATGCAACCAGGCTTTCTTTACAGCCAAACAGACCCAGTTTTCACGTTTCACATGGAAAAATTCACCAGGGATATGAAGTATTAGTTGGGGTCAAACCTCATGTCAGTGGCAAAGGAAGAATTAGAAGCTCTGTTTTCTTTGAGGCTCTGGGCCAGGAGACTTTCTATTCTAAAAATACACAAGCTTAGGGCAGGTTCCTATATTTTTGAGCCTCAGTTTTTCTCCAGCAAGGGGGGGCGGGGCGGGGGAGATAGTGCTCTCCCATTGCCTCATTGAGTTGAGAAAAGTCCTACATATCTAATAACATATTTATTGTTTTAACCAATAATTGTGCCCTAATACGATTCAGACCAACTCTAACATTTATGAACCATGCAGATGTAGCCAGTCGTCAGTTCCCTGCAGTTGCCTGCCATTTAAACTTCCTTATTCCTAGGGGAGTCGACCCCATTTT